CCTAGTCAGTCAGTAGTGTCCCTGTTGCCTAAGGGAAAATTAGGTTGTTGCCCCTGCAGTGCAGAGGGAGGAACAGAGCAGACTCAGAGTTTTTGTTTTGTTTTGGGAAAAGACTCTTTTTGTTTGTTTGTTTTTTGTTTTGTTTTGTTTTGTTTTTTTTGAGACGGAGTCTCGCTCTGTTGCTCAGGCTGGAGTGCAGTGGTGCGATCTCAACTCACTGCAACCTCCACCTCCTGGGTTCGAGCAGTTCTCCTGCCTCAGCCTTCCAATTAGCTAGGATTACAGGCATGCACCACCATGCCCAGCTAATTATTTGTACTTTTATTAGAGACGGGGTTTCGTCATGCTGGCCAGGCTGGTTTCGAACTCCTGACCTCAAATGATCCGCCCATCTCGGCCTCCCAAAGTGCTGGGATTACAGGCGTGAGCCACCATGCCCTGCCTGGAAATAGACCCTTGAGTATCAAAAGGGAAGGGCACAGAGAAGCAGGAGTGGAAGCCAAGGTGATATCTTGGAAAGAGATGAGAGCAACAGCAAGACTGCCAGCCCTCACCCTGCCTTGGGGACTGGCTCAGGGTCGCTGACCTGGAAGGTAGAAGAGAAGGGAAATGGGGTTTAACCTGGGTAGAGGGTAGGTGGGGGGATAGGCAGAAGAGTGAGTCATCTTTTAGAGACATCCAAGGCAATGACACGGCAGAGCCGACGTAGACATCACCCATGGTCCTCCCAAGGAGTGACTATGATTGAGTCAACTGTGTGCTTCCTCTGTGTGTCCACCTCTGCTGCACAGCTCTGTTGAGTGTCACCTGATCTCCCTGGATGGATTCTTGCCCTTTGTCAATGGTCCAGGACATTCCCTATAAGCCCCACTTGAAACAGAAGAGGACTCTTTGCCACCCAAGAAGTGGGGATGGTGTAAAGAAAGGTGTCGCTCTTGTTCTTGGATTTACTGGGTAGAGAGATACAGTGGAGGCTCTTAAGAGTTCCACCAGATCCTTACCAGCTGGTGTGCTCATCCCCAGCTGGGGTGAGTGTTGGCTGCTGACGGCTCGCAGCTGTCCCCTTCTCCCAAGTACTGCCCTTGGCCAAATGGGAGGTGCTTTACCCAGGAGGTTTCACCCTCCACTCCCCTCCGGCAGCCTGCAGCCTGTGGCTGACAGGCTCAGGGATATTAGAGGTGTCTCCCTGTCACAGAGTCTCCCTTATACCCAACTGAGGCGCACTTGGTGCTTAGGCTCCACGTGGGACTGTGCTAGCTTCCTGCAGAGACCGCATTCTTGCCCAGTCCTTTCCCCTGCCCTGTTCTGCTTTCCTCTCTCCTTTTTGTCCAGAGAGCAGTTTCATGTGCACCTAAATCCCCTCTTCAGGCTCTGCACCCAGGGAACCCCACCAAAGAAAATGGGCTGATAGTATGTGCTGAACAAATTGTGGATCTTGCTGGGCGTGGTGGCTCACATCGCTCACATCGGTAATCTCAGCACTTTAGGAGGTGGAGGTAGGAGGGTTGCTTGAGGGCAGGAGTTCAAGACTGTCCTGGGCAACACGGTGAGACCCTTGTCTCTACAAAAAATAGAAAAATTAGCCGGGTGTGGTGGCACATGCCTGTATTCCCAGCTACTCAGGGGGCTGAGGTAGGATTGCTTGAGCTCAGGAGGTCAAGGCTGCAGTGAGCTAAGACAGTGCCACTGTACTCCAGCCTGGGTGACAGAACAAGACCCTGTCTCCAAAAAAAAAATAAATAAATAAAACAAACTGTGGCTCTAATGGCAATGCAGCCCCATCCCACCAGACTGTGTAAGGGGAAGAAGAGGGCTTGCCGGGCTCTTTCTCCTCCCCTGGCAGCTCCTGCTTTATACCCGCACCCACACGGGCACACACTCCTCCCCGCACCCCTACCCACAGTGCGTCCTCCTGCAGAGCCCCTTCCCAGAGGAAGTGTGTTTGGAGGAATTCTGTCAACCTGGACACTTGATGAGACAGCCTTTTTCACTTTCAGGTGAGACCAAAAGAGAGGATGCCCCGGCCTCACTCAACAAGGGACCGAGAGATTTCGGAAGTCTCTTGGTACCTGCTCCTGGCCCCGCCTGACTCTGGGCACCCTACAGGGCTGTGTGCTGTGGAACCTGAGCGGGCATCACGGACAGACCTGCCAGGCTTGGGCCTGCTCAGCCACTCGACCACATTCTGCCGGCAGCCACAGTTTGTCTTGGCAAGGTCAGCCTCAGGCCCGGCTCCAGGAAGGCCCTGGGGAGCAGCCCAGACAAGCCAGCTTTCACCACAGAAGCCAGCGCTGGCTGGTCTTGAGGCAGTGCCAGCCTGAGAGTGGCTGGAGCCTCCCACACCCACCTAAAGGTGAACTCGGTTCTGGGTGAGCACGTGGGTGTGTGCAGGGGGCAGGCTCCTAGATGGGTGGAACCCCCCAGAGAGGCAGCAGGGGCAGGGGGCCAAGCCAGAGGGCTTTCCTGACCTACACTGATCAGCGCCTTAGGAACTGGACTCATGGGATGTCTGCCAGGAGCCCTGGCAGCCTAGCCTGAGCCTCCTCCTCATACCCCGCCAGCTGAGGGTGCATCAGGGCAGCTCCAGCTCCCGGGCTGGCAGGGAGGGGCAGGAGAGGCTTTGGAGAATGAAGATGCTATGATGCTTAGTCCCAGGAACAGCAAACCTGCTACTGAACAGCCAGCTTTCCTTCCCCATGTAAATACTTGGCGCCTTCTCTCTCAAGGAATAAAACAGTCAAAAAGGAATGTATACAAACAAAACAGTCTTGTTTCTGTTCCTGCCCTGCTAGGCAGCCTCTTCTGCATCTTCAGAGTCATGAGTTCTCTTCCATTCTGTCTCCAGTGGGGGTCCCTGAGATCCTCCTACCCACTTGGCTTGGCAGTCTCTACAGCTCCAAATCCAGGACCTCCCACCCTCCTGAGGCTGCCACTCTGTGCTACCCTGCCAAGGTGAGGCACGGAGGGGCACTTTGAGCACCTTCACCTTTGGAAGTGCGTGGTGGCAGGGGCTCCTGAACAGAGGACTCACGAGGACTCTTCTGGGTCTCCAACAGAGGGGTCCCAGAGCTAAGGAGCCCAGTGGACTTGAGTCTTAATGGTTAGAATGGAATGGTAAAAGATGGGTTAGAATCAGGGTAGCATGACGTGGTGAGAGATTAATTTGTGTTTGTTCTTGTGTTTTTCCCTCCACTGCTCCCGGAAGATAGGCCAAGGCAGCACGGCAGTGTGAGGTGCTGAGGTGGTCTGCAGTTCTGTGCTTTGTGTTCCAGAAGCCTAGCTTCTCCAGGAGGAGCAGGGAAGGGCGAGGGCCAGTGAGTGCCTTCTTAGAGTAGTACAGAGAGAGGAGGAGAGAGAAAGAGAAAATGGGCTCTGTGTTAATAATTGGTATATCCTGTATAAAGAATAAGGCCAGGCATGATGACTCACGCCTGTAATCCCAGCACTTTCAGAGGCCAAGGCAAGCGGATCACTTGAGGTCAGGAGTTCCAGACCAGCCTGGCCAACATGGTGAAACCCTAACTTTACTAAAAATACAAAAATTAGCCAGACACGGTGGTGGGCGCCTATAATCCCAGCTACTCAGGAGGCTGAGGCAGGAGAATCACTTAAACCAGGGAGGGGGAGGTTACAGTGAGCTGAGATCATGCCATTGCACTAAAAAAAAAAATATATATATATATATGGCCATTTAAAATTAAACATACAATTAGCTAATGCAATGGCTTAAAATTAGACATGTAATTCAGCACATTAATGAAATAATAGAGAAAGTAATTTGATAAGCAATATTCATAGATTGAAACACACAGTATTTTAAAGACATCAATTCTCCATCAATTGGTTTATAAATTTAATATAATCCCAATGAAAATCCAGCAGGTTTAAAAAATAGAAATTAGGCTTTCCTGTTGTGGCCTGCGTGGTGTCGGCTCGTGGGTCTCAGAGACCCGAAAATTAAGAGCATTTTTACGCCCCAGGGGCCTCTCGTGGCGGCTCTGCGGCCATCACCATGCCACAGAACGAATATATTGAATTACATCGCAAACGCTATGGATACCGTTTGGATTACCATGAGAAAAAGAGAAAGAAGGAAAGTCGAGAGGCTCATGAACGTTCAAAGAAGGCAAAGAAAATGATTGGTCTGAAAGCTAAGCTTTACCATAAACAGCGCCACGCTGAGAAAATACAAATGAAAAAGACTATCAAGATGCATGAAAAGAGAAACACCAAACAAAAGAATGATGAGAAGACTCCACAGGGAGCAGTACCAGCCTATCTGCTGGACAGAGAAGGACAATCTCGAGCTAAAGTACTTTCCAATATGATTAAACAGAAACGAAAAGAGAAGGCGGGAAAATGGGAAGTCCCTCTGTCTAAAGTCCGTGCCCAGGGAGAAACAGAAGTATTAAAAGTTATTCGAACAGGAAAGAGAAAGAAGAAGGCATGGAAGAGGATGGTTACTAAAGTATGCTTTGTTGGAGATGGCTTTACAAGAAAACCACYTAAATATGAAAGATTCATAAGRCCAATGGGCTTACRTTTCAAGAAAGCCCATGTGACACAYCCTGAACTGAAAGCCACCTTTTGCCTACCAATACTTGGTGTAAAGAAGAATCCCTCATCCCCACTGTATACAACTTTGGGTGTTATTACCAAAGGTACTGTCATTGAGGTAAATGTGAGCGAATTGGGCCTTGTGACGCAAGGAGGCAAAGTTATTTGGGGGAAASTATGCCCAGGTTACGAACAATCCTGAAAATRATGGATGCATAAATGCAGTCTTACTGGTTTGACAGCAATTTAATATATAATTAGAGGACTACACACYAATTGGAAAAACTGCCATTACTGTACTGTTTCTCAATACTACCAAATAGCCATACATGTCTGCCATCGAGATTTATTGTAAACATTAAAATAGTCCCGTTGTATAAATGGTCTTTATTTTGAAATCTACTTAGACCCCCATGTTAATAAAACTGATTGAAAAAAAAAAATAGAAATTAGGGCAGGCACAGTGACTAACGCCTGTAATCCCAACACTTAGGTAGGCTGAGGCAGGTGGCTCATGAGGTCAGAAGTTTGAGACCAGCCTGGCCAATATGGTGAAACCCCTTCTCTACTAAAAACACAAAAATTAGCCAGGTGTGGTAGCAGGCACCTATAGTCACCATTACTTGGGAGGCTGAGGCAGGAAAATGGCTTGAACCCGGGAGATGGAGGTTGCAATGAGCCGAGATCATGCCACTGCACTCCAGCCTGGGAGACTGAGCGAGACTCCATCTCAAAATAATAAATTAATAAAATAAAAAATAAAATAAATTTAAAAATCTTAACCACTGCACCTGGCCAAAGATTTGTTTAAAAGCATACAAAAGGGGAGGGGAAGTGTGAAGCAAAATAATAAATAAGAAGCATATAAAAAACACCAGAAAGAAAAGATTGGTGACTTAGGCTACACTCAATTAAGAAATTCTGGTTATCAAAAATCTAATGGCTGGCGTGTGGTTCACAACTGTAATCCCAGCACTTTGGGAGGCTGAGGCAAGTTGATTATTTGAGCCCAGGAGTTTGAAACCAACCTGGGCAACATGGAGAAACGTGTGTGTACAACACATACACACACACACAAATTAGCCAAGTGTGGTGGTACGTGCCTGTGGTCCCAGCTACTCTGGGGGCTGAAGCAGGAGGATCACTTGAGCCAGGAGCCTGAGGCTGCAGTGAGCTGTAATTGTGTCACTGCACTCCAGCCTGGGTGACAGAGCAAGACCCTATCTCAAAAAAAAAAAAAAAAAATCTCATAATGAAGACAGGCACTGTGGCTCACACCTGTAATACCAGCACTATGGGAGTCTGAGGCAGGAGGATCACTTGAGCCCAGGAGTTTGAGACCAGTCTAGGCAATATAGCGAGACCTGCATCTCTTACCCTCGAAAAAATTAGCCAGGTGTGGTGACCCAGGTACACAAGTGGCTGAGGCAGGAGGGTTGCTTGAGCCCAGGAGTTGGAGGCTACAGTGAGCTATGATTNGGCGGATAACCTGAGGCCAGCAGTTTGAGACCAGCCTGACCAACATGGAGAAACCCCATGTCTACTAAAAATACAAAAATTAGCCAGGTGTGGTGACCCAGGTACACAAGTGGCTGAGGCAGGAGGGTTGCTTGAGCCCAGGAGTTGGAGGCTACAGTGAGCTATGATTGTGCCACTGCACTCCAGCCTGGGTGACAGAGTGAAACCCTGACACACACACACACACACACACACATACCCCTCATAATGGGAGTGAAGAGAAAGGGAGCATGGGAGAAGTGATAAGAAAATCCTGGGTCCATATTTAGGGTCAATGCCTCGCACCCATCAGGACTCTCACATTGAAGGTCTTCTTGTCAACAGCTGACTTCTAGGATGCTGGCTCCAAGGAGGTGGCTCATTCCCTTCCAACATTCAGTGGGTGTTATTACCACCACTGAGGTGGTAGCAGAGGAGGAAGCTGTGCATGGGGTGAGGAAGGCGGCTGACCCAGGATAAGCAGTTAACACCTTTGGGGAGGCCAGGTGCCGTGGCTCACACCTGTAATCCCAGCACTTTGGGAGGCCAAGGCAGGCGGATCACAAGGTCAGGAGATCTAGACCATCCTGGCTAACACGGTGAAAACCCGTCTCTACTAAAAATACAAAAAATGAGCTGGGCATGGTGGCATGCACCTGTAGTCCCAGCTACTCAGGAGGCTGAGGCAGGAGAATCACTTGAACCCAGGAGGTGGAGGTTGCAGTGAGCCAAGATTGCACCACTGTACTCCAGCCTGGGCAACAGAGTGACTCTGTCTCAAAAAAAAGAGCTTTGGGGAATCACTAACTGTGAAGACCTAGTCTCTCCTCGGGTGGAAAGACACTGTGAACTGTGAACTTTTTCCTATTTGCAAAAGTTCTTGTAGAGAAGTGAAAAGAGACTTTGGGGTTCATTTGAACCATTTCAAATATGTCCAGTGTTTGCTTCATTCCAAAGCTGGTCACATGGGTAGGGAAATAGACCTTGGATATCACTCTGGCAAAAAGTTTCTAGAATATCTTCAAAGGCATGAAGATTTATTGCTTTAGGTTTCACAGTTCCATCCACAATCCACTTGGAGTTTATTTTTGTGTATGGTATGAGGTAGAGGTCAAATGTAATTTTTGCAGATGGCTATCCAATTAACCCAACACCATTTTCTTTTTTGAGAGATGGGGGTCTCACTTGTTGCCCAGGCTGGCCTTGAACCTCTGGGCTCAAGCAATCCTCCTGCCTCAGCCTCCCGAGTAGCTGCCTGGGCTCTAACATCATATTTTTTAAAAGTCCATCCTTGCTACACTGCACAGCAGTTCCCATTTCTCTGGGAGATTTTTCTTTCTGGAAGAAGTTAAGGGCTCCACCAATATGAGCAGGGGGCAGGGAGAAGAAGGATCTTTTGCAGAATAGTCAGCAGAAGGCTGGTCAAAGCTGCTGCCTGGCTTTAGCCAGTGAGACCTGTCTAGAGCGAGTCCTGTCTGAGCCAAAATGTAGCCTCAGAAGTGTCTGGTCCCCAGGGTCAGGTGCAAAATGCAGCAGCCTGGTTCTGCTGGGAAACATTTGGAAGAGGAAAGCCGAGGACTTAACTGGAGAGGCACTCTCTCTGAAGGGTGAGCAGCCAAGGGTCTGGTGCCCATCCTACTCCCACCCCCATTAGAAGCCTGGGGATGGGCTGACGCTGAGAAGGATCCCTTTGTCACCTGGCATCTTGGTACTTCAACTAGAAAGAGCCTGGGCAGTTTCTGTCACCTGGTCCTAGGTAGAGGTGGGACCTGCAGATAAAGGAAAAATCTATGCCTGTTCCAAACTTACTGTGAGTAGGAAAAACCATCTCCCCCTGGATGACTGCAGGGACCATGTCCAGGGAAGACACTATGTGCCCCACCCATATTCCCTCATCTTTACCACCTCTGTGTACATCTGTCTGATTCCAACTGTCAGCAACCTGCTTCTCTTTGAGTGTTTTCCCTAGCTACTAGGACTGTTTTTACCACCTGTGGGGAAGACTGGAGGTACCAGAAAGCTAATGTTGCCCTCCCACTCCACCCAGAAGCCCTAAGCACTGCCTGATGAGAATTGGTGTGTAAGTACCCCAGCTGCCTCACTCCTCAGGTGCAAAACTTCTGAGGCATGCATTTTATAGCCTCCCAGAGCTCCCAGCTGGGATTCAGCTTCAGAAAAACTGTACAACCTGGTTCTCAGCAATGTCTTGACAACTCCCACTTTGGTCCTGACCAGAGAGCTGGGTGACTGAGTCTTCAGTGGCCCTATTATGCTCCCAGCCACAGCTCAGGCGGGCTAGCCTGCTCCCCCTCCCCCAACAGTCTCCAAGAACAGACATGGGGCAGGGAAAACTTGTTTAGTTGGACTCTGGGGCTGTTTAAAAAGCCCAAGGCCCAAGAAGGCTGCCCGGGGGCAGGGATTGGAGCCACCCCCAGAGCTGCTGAACTGCAGTTGAGAAAAGCAAACCCACACCAAGGAGGCAGGCGAGAGGCTGGGCGCCACCTGCTTGTGGTTTATTGTTCTGTTTTCTCCAAACAGCAGAGCAGAATGTGAGGCCACCTGGGGGGCGGCTGGGCCCATAGCATGGGGCCAGCCAGAGTCATTGTGTATGGGGCCACAGTCCATGAGACATCCACTGGGGGAAGACCCCAAATACAGGAGGCCTGGCACCCCCTTTTCTGCCTCTTCCATGCCCAAAGCCCCCACAGGGAGGCATGATTCAGCAAGCATGAGAGTGCAGGTCTCAAAGGAAGTGGGGCAGCTGCGGGGCTAAGCAGCTGTTGGAAGCTCCATGGGAGCCTGGGCAGGCCTCCCGAAGCTGCAGGGCACCACCCTTTCGCTGGAGAGAAGTTGGGATGCTGGGCCAGTTGAGATGGGTCAGATGCACATAGGACCTTTCCAGGTCACTTCTCCCTGAGCTGTCCTCTTTCCCACGGTCCCCATCCCATGCTCCCCTCACCCGACATCCCTGGTCTGCACAAGATCCATCTGTCTCTTTCAGAGGAACCAAGACCCAGAGAGCGAGGCCCAGAACCCCAGCACCCCTCTGGGATGCTCTCCTGCCAAGAGTATCTGCACAGTGCTGGGGCTTCTGACCACCCCAAGACAGGGAGGCAAGAGAAGCTTGTGGGGCTGCTAGTGGGGAGGCTTGAGCACGGGACGAAGGCCTCTCCCCATTCAGCTCACGGGTTGGGGTCTGTCCACAGCCCTGGCCCTGCATCTTTCTGTGCCGCCATCCAGGGCGTGGCTGTGAATCCCAGAGGGACCTCCAGTCCGGGCTCCATGGGAACAACAGCTGCAGACCTGGCGGGGTGAGAGAGGGAGAGAAGATCAGGGAGGAAGGCTGGTTACCAGCAGACAGGAAGCCACTGTTCTCTACCTGCTCAGCTTAGGTTATGGCGGTGGGCTATATGCCTCAGATAGCAGTCTAGATGGGGGCCCCAGGGAGGAAGACCTGGACCCCAGTTCCCCATCCCTGCTATGGCCTTTTAGAGAGCAAGCCCATCTCAGGGCCCGGTGGGGCAGGGAGGACAGACCCAGTCAGAGACCTACCGTAATTAGGAGTATGCCAGGCCCTGAAGCCCCCGGGCTGGAGAGTGGAACTTGTCAGAATCCTCAAAAGGCTGGTCTGCAGTAGTCAGGGAGAAAGGACCCATAAGCCATGTGCTGCTGCCTGAGGAGCCACCTGCCTGTCACTCTCTGGGCTAGAGACAGCAGGCAAGGCATATAACACTTTCTGAAGGCACTCAGCCACCCCTAGCCCTGGCCTGGGGTCAGCACCGCAGATCAGGGGTGATGGGTGCCTCTCAGATGCTCAGGAGAGGCAGCCCAAGCCCTTGGTCCCTACCTCCCTCAAGAGAGATGACCCCAGGCTCCTTCTCCCAGGGTGGTCTCCTTCAGAGGGTCCGTCTACTTCTTCAAGCACACGGTCACATACCAGGACAGA